GAGAAGGCATAAAAGAGAAAGAAGCAGGAAAGAGGAAGGGTGAATTTTTCCGCAATATTCAGAATGTTGCCAAGGGCTGGGCTAGGTCTGGCTCTCAAACTTTGCAATCTTTTGGACCCCTTATCAAGAACAATCGAGGTCATCATCCAGTCACCCCCTTAGGGGAAAGGAGGGTCCATATGTGAGAAGGTTTATATCCTGCACATAGATGACAGTGTAAGTACCTCTCCTGCAGATTGCTGTGGCCTACGTAGAGCACGCTTGCTGCTTGCAGCTCTCTCTGCTCTTCAAGCTGGCCCTCCCATGGGTCCCTGTGAGCTCTATGTCCTACCAGTCACCACCAGTCGCCATTGAGGTGATTCTAACTCATGACAACCCCATGGGTGTCAGAGTAGAACTGTGCGACATAAGGTTTCCAAGGGCTGATTTTGAAGTAAACTGTCAGGTCTTTCTTCCATGGTGCCTCAAGGTGGACTCAAACCTCCAACCTTTCAGTGAGCAACTGAGGGCATGAAGTGTTTGTAACACCCAGGGACTCCTCCCTGCTCTTAATTTAATTACACTGAACTTTTCCCCAAATAGACTCTCCCACCCACCCCTCATCCCATTCTTTTTACACATACAGTTTTTTCTGCCTGGGATGCCCTTCCCATCTCCCTTACCCCACCTATATATCTTTCAAGATTCTGAGCAACTAAGGCTTAATTCTTTCCCGAAGCTCTTTTTTTCAGCCCTATTACCTGTTGTATTTCTTGATGGTAACCTACTCTAGGGTATATGGAGTCCGGGTGGCATAATGAGCTAAGCATTGAGCAGCTCACTGCAAGGTCAGTAGTTCAAATTCACCAGATGCTCCATGGGTGAAAGTTGAGGCTGGCTGTTCCTAGAAAGACTTAGAGGTCTTGGAATCCCAAAGGGCAAGTGTACTCTCTCCCATAGGGTCCCTATGAGTCAGAATTGACACAAGAGCAGTGGATATGGGGTTTTTTGGTTTAGTATTCTAAAAGGATCCATGTGGATGAAGGGAGATGTCGGACAGGGCAAGATATGACAAAATACCCATTTATAAACTATCAAGGGCTCATGCGGGAGG